TCTACCAGTTCTATTATACCTCCTGTCATCCTCTAAGGTATCAAAACCTCGCCATCTCCTCTACAAAACCTACCCCAGACACCTACAACACCTTCCACCCCCTCATATCATCTACCTCAAAAGCCTTGACATCCTCCTCGCACCCCCCAGACCCACCTCTCCACCACCCAAAAGTAGCTGGACTACTTCCGCGCCTCACTCACCCCCCACAATGAGTCCCCACTTCCGCCTCTGTCGCCGCCTAACATGGCACCTCTGCCGCGCGCGCCGCCAGCTCGAGCGCCGCATGAATGGCCCACCAGCCATGCGAACGCGAAGCCGGGTCGCCGCCATATCTTCACCAGCACAAGTCACACCCGCAACACCAAACACCCCTGCCGACAGAACCGGCACCCTTACCAAAAAGCCCTCCACCAAGAGGCAACGCCTCGCCAGCTCAAAGCGGCTTGGGCGAAAAAGACTGGCGCTGAAGCGGGTGTTGGAGAAGAAGAAGAAAGAGATGGATGAGAAGGGGAAGAGGACGTTTGGCATGGGCCAGCGGATCAGGCTGCTGAGTCAGCTTGGTCCGAAGGGGGAGTTGGTAGAAGGGAGGAGGTTCGTGCCTGCGCAGCGGAGGATTACGACTGTGGAGCAGATGAGGGTGAAGAGGGAGGGGAAGAAAGTGGGGAAAAGTCCGTTGGGGAAGACGTGGTGAGGGGGGGTTTGTGGAGGGGAGGCTGGTGGGGGGATGTGGTCTTCGGGGGGTTGTTTGGGGGGATGGTTGGAGCGCTGGTCGCTTGATGTATTCATCAGACGTACATTTACTCCGACGGTTAGAGCGCCGGTCGCTCCATGTATTCCTCAAACGTACATGTACTACGAAGATAGAAGCGCTGGTCACTTCACATCGTCTCCCGGCTCCCTCCTATCTACAAGTTCAACAACACACTCGCCAACCCCATTCCAGCACCCCACGCCGCACCAACACCCAGACCCCGCTTCTGCGCCTTACCCTGATACTCCGGCATACCGGCCCCAGCACCAAAGTCATACTCGAAGCTTCCATTGAGCGCAACAGGGCCCTGGACACTTCTTCCAGTACCAAGAATAGTAATATTCTTAACAACACACTCCGTCGCGTATCCAAAGTCACCGTCCATGCTGAACTTGCCGTTGTCGTAGGAGAACGTGATCATGGACGTAGACGGCTGCTCGATGCTATCGCCGTCGTCGAGGTACAGCGAGCCCGAAGCCTGATTCGTCGCGTTCGGCGCGATCCACAAGACAAAGTCCTGCTTCCGCAGCTCGGTCGTCGTGTTTGCGGATTCAGCGCGCAGAGGCAGGATGGAGCCGCCGCGGACGTGGAGGGGAATGGAGTCGAAACCGATGTCGGTGAGGTCGATCATGCTTCCGTTTCCTTGGATGCGGTCGCCGGTCCAGTAGTCGTAGAAGACTTCGTTGGGGAGGTAGATGGATACACTGGTGGAGTTTTCCTCCAGCACGGGCGACACGAGGATGGCGTCGCCGTAGAAGAACTGGTATTCGAGGGCGAAGGTGTTGGGGTCGGTGGGGTAGTGGAACCACAGCGGGTTCAAGCTGGGTTCTCCGGTGGTGGTCTGGCGGTGGAAGGCTGTGTAGAAGTAGTCGAGTAGACGGTAGCGGACGGCGATGGCGTTCTTGGCTGCGGCGGTGGTCAAGGGCCAGCGGTAGTACTCTTGGTCGATTGATGTGTCGCCAGCGTGGTTCCTCATGAAGGGGTAGAAGGCACCGAGGGTTGCCCAGCGTGCGCAGAGTGTCTCGGTGGTGTTGCCGGCGAAACCGCAGATGTCAGGACCGACCATGGGGATCTGGAAGATGGAGTTGAAGTTGAGGATGCCGGCGATGGAGAAGCGGTATTGCGTCCATTCCGAGACGTTATCACCGAGCCACTTTCCGAGGTAAGTACCCAGACCGACGAACTAGAAATCTTGTTAGTTATAGTTCGATATGATGACACGTGAAGACTTACAGTAGAGCGAGTGATGATCAAAGGACGACGTTCAGGACGGCGCGCAAGCATGCTCTTGTGCGAAGCAATCGACATCATCGAGCCCCAGAAGTTGTGGGTATCATAGTGGTATGTTCCGTCGTAGTTCTGGATGTCGGTGTCGAGGGTCTTGTTGCTGATGGAGCCAGCAGCGTTAGCGATCTGGTACTCTGGGTTGATCAGGTCACGACCGGGAAGACCGGGGTGCGCGGCAAGGTCTTCGGTGTTGTTGGAGGCTTGACGCTTGAAGTTGGAGCGCTTGCTGAGAGGGGAGCTTGAGCGGGTCTTCAGCGTGGAGTTGGACTGCGGCTGGAGTCCCGCAGGGAAGCCAGGGATCTGACGGCCGTCGGCAGAGGTGCGGACTGGCGGTGGCTCAGGCGGGTTCTTGGACTCTTCAGAGTAGGCTACAGGATCTTCGCAAGGGTACGGGCAGAAGTTGGCAGGCTCGTTCATGTCGTTCCATAGACCGTCAATATCAACACCAGTCGCCGGGTCGAAGAACTCGGCAAACTTCTGGTCCCAGTACTGCTGGGTGTTGGGGTGGAACCAGTCGGGGAAAACAGTTGGGCCAGGCCAGACCGCGCCTTCGAAGAAAGAGCCGTTCTCGCGCTTCTGGAAGACATCGAGCTCGGCACCGTCGTTGTAGCCATCGTAGTCGCCACTCCAGACGGCGGAGTTGACCATCATGATGTAGTGTTGCTGGTGAGCATGGAGGTAGTCAACCACTTCGCGGACGAGTTCAAGAGGGTAACGCTCTGGATCCAGAGTGAACAGGCGACGGAGCTCCATGTAGTCGATGTCGGTCCACATGGTCTGGGCGTGTTAGCGAGGATTTATAGATAATATGTCGGGATATAGAACTCACCTCGAGGGGAATGTCGGCAGCGGAGTAGTTGGCAACTACCTCAGCAACTTGCCAGACATCACGGTAACCGTACTTGCACTGGTGAGAACCGAAACCCCAGTACGGCATCATAGCGGCAAGACCAGAGAGAGCAGAGTACTGGACTGCGACTTCCTTCGGTCCAGGACCAGCGAGGAAGTAGAAGTCGAGAACACCACCTAGAGTGTTGTACTCAAGGAACTGGCCCTCGGAGTCGTCGATCTTGATGTCCATACCCTGAGAGCTGGCCAAGAAGACACCGTGAGTGCCGTTCTCGCCGCGGTGGTCAAAGTAGATGGGGTGGGCTCCGTAGAGATTGGAACCCTCTGGGGTACCGTAGGCATCACGGTTCCAGAGAGTGCGGGTGTAGTTGGTGGTGTTCAGATGGAAGTGGTCAGTCGATTCACCAAGCCCGTATAGGTTGGGCGAAGGAGGCAGAGCAGTCCTCAGGCGAAGGTACTGCGATTCAAAGACGAGCGATGCAGCGGAGGTGTCGAAGAGAGTCTCGTTGGTCTCCTTGCGCTTGATGGCGAACGAGAACGGGCTGTCGGTCCATGTGAATGACAGGGCAGAGTCCTCGGGGTTGACACCCTCGTCATCGGAAGGACGAGGCCAGACAGACTCTTGGATCTGGAACACTTGCTCTTCAGCATCGAAGATCTTTACGTGGAGGCGTTCGGCTGTGAGATTGGTTAGCACTAGGAACGATTGTAATGATTGAAGAACGCACCAGTTTGGTACTCGACTTCAAGCTTGAGGTCAGTCAAGTCGTCGCCGTAGACATTGCAAGCGGTGCCCGCAAGCGTAAGGTCCGCGGTAACCTTGGAGCCATTATCCTGAAGGTTGCTAGCAGTGTACCCAGGGCAAGCTTCAAGTGATGAGCTTTGGCGTTGAACCAGCGAACTTGCAAACGCAGGTACCGCCACCCCAAGAGCGAAAAGGCCTTTGGTGATCATGGTGCCTGAAGGTATTGAGAAAGCCAGGACCGTGTTGGATGCTGATCGTCCGAGGGAACCTTCGCCTTCTTATACTCGAGCGCGTGCAGCCGTGTGTGCTAGTCCGATGCACTACAACAACAAAGCACGCATCGTGATCTCGGTTCAGACTTACCGTTTGCATGGCTAGGATAGGCGGATATGCACCCAAGGCGCGCTCCCCCGCAGTACCGTCATCATGGAGGTCGGACTTGCATGGCTTGGCAACGATGCGAGGGCCAGAGAGGCAACATAGCGGGGTCATTGGTTCCGCAGATTCACGCTGTGGAGAGCTTGTTTACCCGGGGAGAATCCCGTTTGGGGTTCGGCTGGAATGGACGACATACGAGGCGCAAAACTCTGGGGTAGACGATCAGGTTTGTTTACGCGGGTGCGAGGCGCGCTGCACGGCGGTTACGTTGATTCGATGGAAGTCGGGAGTGCGAGATGCCGGTCCGAGTTCTAGTGCCGGCGTGCATTCGCGCTTCGTCGCCAAGCAGACGGCTGAACAGAGCCAAGACAAGGCTAAATTTGGTGACATCTCGTGAGTCCAGAGTTCAGACGTTGAGGTCCATGAGGACTTCTGCATGTGTTTACCGAAGTCGAGCAGCGCTTATGATACCGAACTTGTGGCTAGCGGACTGACTTGTACGAGGCAAGCATGTCGGACCAGACGTGTGGTCTCCGCTACTGCATGATCAAGTTTGATCGGGAAGGACCATACGAGGATATAGAGTTGTGACATATTTCGTGGAAGCCACTGCAATGGTTCATTGCGGCATGTAGACGGCGGGAACAGCACGCCGCATTTCTTAAGCCCTACGTCGGATTCGCCCTGTAAGAACAACTTGTTCTAAGCACATGGCGCTACATGAAGCTCGCGAACTTCCTGCATGAGAACTCAGCGTCGAGAAACAGTATCGAATCTGCAACTTGGCATATACACATGACTGTACATTGCTACATATGCAGAAATGGTGCTATGTGTACCTAGGTACCTCTGAAATGTGTGTTGGGGTGTGGTCCTGAGATATCTGGAGCATCTACGTGCACGGACGGACACTAGCGCGCCGCTCGCCCAGGACCGAAAAGTTCACGAACGCGACAGCAACAACCTCCTACACCACACCACGTCACCATGCTTTGCGCAATCTCTGGCGAAGCTCCCCGCGAACCCGTTGCCTCGCGCAAGTCGGGCAATGTCTTCGAAAAGCGCCTGATCGAGGCGCACATCTCGGAACACCACACCGACCCCGTTACTGGCGAAGACCTCGCGACCGAGGACCTCATCGAGCTCAAGTCGCCCAATGTCGTTACCCCACGCGCCCCCAGCTTCACCTCGATACCCGCCATGCTCAGCGCCTTCCAGAACGAGTGGGATGCCCTGGTACTAGAGACACACACGCTCAAGCAGCACTTGGCGCAAACGAGGCAGGAGCTGAGTACGGCGCTCTACCAGAACGACGCTGCGACACGGGTCATCGCGCGCATATCAAAAGAGCGAGACGAGGCGCGCGAAGCTCTGTCCAACGTCACCGTCAGTGGAGGCGGCGGCCAGGGCGATGCGATGCAGGTGGACGGCCAGGGCCTGCCTGAGGAGCTTGCCGCCCTCGTTGACGAAACACAGAAAGAGTGAGTCTTGTCCCCTCCTAGATTACATACCATGTGAGAGCCCCCGACTAACGCACTACAGGCTGTTCGGCTCGCGACGAAAGAGACCCGTACCCGCAGGCTGGGCCTCTGGAGACGCCATCTCCAACTACGACATTGCCAAGACGACCGACTCGCTTTTCCCAGGCAGCAGCTGCATCGCTGTCAACGAGGCTGAGCTGGTCCTATTCGGTGGAGCTGATGGTACCGCGGGTGTCTACTCGCTGGTCCAAGGCAAGGTTCTGGAGACATTCAACGCTGGCGGCGCCGTCACTTCGACAGCATGGTGGGGAGAGCGCGCTCTTATCGGCACTTCGACAGGCACAGTCAAGGTCTTTTCCAACGGCGATGAGGTTGCCCAGATCGGATCACACGCTGGCGCCGTCACATCCATGTCGCTACACCCCAGCGGCAAGATGCTCGCTACCGCCGGCGCCGACAAACGCTACGCAATCCACGAGCTCACCACTTTCAAGACCGTTTCGCAAGTCTACGTCGAAGCCGAAATCACCTGCGTCTCCTTCCACGTCGACGGCATGCTCTTCTTCCTCGGAAGCTCCGACGGCAACATCCGGATATACGATATCAAGACTGGTGCCAAGATGGCTGAACTCGAGACTGGCGCGCCCGTTGCGGATCTGAAGTTCTCCGAGAACGGAACGTGGTTCGCCGTAGTACAGCAGAATTCCTCCAGCGTCGCGATTTGGGATATCCGGAAGCAGGCAGCAATTCACACATTGGAATCTGGCAGCCCAGTCACCAGCTGCAGCTGGGACTACACCGGCACGTTCCTCGCGATTGCCGGCACGGGCAGCGTCTCTGTGCAACAATACACCAAGGCGTCGAAGAGCTGGGCTGAGCTGGTGAGGAAGGCAGCTCCAGCGAAGGACGTCGCCTGGGGTGGCAAGGCCGAGAATGTAGTCGCCCTGAACCCAGAGGGTGGCTTGGTTGTATTGGCAGCAGTTTGAAGTGTTTGGGCTTCAGGGGTGACTTTTGATGGCGTAAAGTTTTTGTGACAGGGCAGGCAGATGTGTACATTGGCTGCTATTTCATCAGTGTGTAGAATCAGGAGCTCGCGGATGCATTTAGGCTGGGGGGTTTTACGACCAAAATTTGAATAGGATACTACCACATGCTGTAAAACACTACGTCACGATCCATCTCGCACATGCAAGAGCAAAACAATGCGCTTTGGTGAAGGGGCTGGGTCGCAGAAGACGATAGAAACGGACAGAATAGCGGTCTATAGTCATTGTTCGATTCCAATCGACGGTGAAGGGTGATAGGTGATTTTGGATTTGACGTTCTGGCGTTTGTCATACTGCCCAGATGGATGTTGGAGCGCCACCACAGTTTCGCCGAACTCAGCACCCCCAACGGCACGAGACGGGCCCAACCTTCCCCCTTCGACACTCGCCGGTGCTACTATCGCCCGCCGCCAACCTCACCACGCACCCCGCAACCATCACCAGCCTGACATCCGGCATGGAAGGCGAAGGACGACCGAGTGGGTTCACGCACAGACAGCAGAAGGTGAGTGCCGTCGGCGGTAGTACCGCCAACATAAACAACAACAGGGTGAAGAGGCGCTGACCACGGCTGCTGCAGCGCTCACATGCACAAATGGACGGCGAGCAAGCGTCTGCCTCGCCTGCCTGGAGACATGGCTCCTTCCCCGACAACCGCGAAGCTCCCCCAACCTACCACGGCCTTCCCTTCGGATACGATTACGACGATAGGCAGAGCCCTGCTAACGACATCTACGACCCACCCGCCCGCTATCATTTCGACCGCCAGCCCACCCCGACCTTCGAGTCTGCATTGCGATCGCACATCCGCCCGCCCATAGAACGCGCCTCCTCCAGCGCCCAGCACTCGCATACCGCCGGGTTACACCTGCCAAGATTGGGCAACATGGCGTCTTCGGCATCCAGACGGTTCGCGGGCGATGGCTTCGACTACAGGCGGCCGGCTGGCTCGGCAAGTCAACACACAACAGCGTCTGTCGACCTGACGGGGGACGACGAGGACGATGTGGCTATCGACCTGAGCCAGGACGACGACATCATTGACTTGACAGCCGATGATTCGGGCGACGGGGCGAGTCACAATGGCAACAATGCACGCGAGCGACAACAGGATAGAGCACAGCAAGAGTCGCATCGCGGTCGCCATCACCCACGTCGTTTGCCAAGGGGCTTTGACATCATCATCGACCTCGACAATGGCGAGGAGGAGTGGCACCCCGATCCACCAGCGCCGCAACCAAGCTCGCCCGAGATCGAGTTCATTTCTTCGCGCACAATACCCGGTCAGCGCCCCGTTCAACCAGCCGACGGGAACGACTCCGATGGCGAGGATGTGCGGTTCATACGGGCGAACGCGTTACCAGAGGCAGAGGTACAGAGACGGCAGAGAGCCGAGCAGTTGGATAACGTCATGGATCTCTTTGGGACATTGAACGGACGTTTCACGCACCTCCGAGCCCAAGTCGATCGATTCCACGAACAGGTCAACCGCACCGCAAACCGCTTCCACGAACCCGTCGCCCCTTCGCGCAGTGCCTCTCGGGGTCGTGCGCCGCACATCCGAGTAGGCGCATTCCAAGCGCCCATGCTGGACTTCGATGTCATAGGCTTCGACATTGGCCCACGGGTACGCGAAGCACCGCCTCCTCCAGCTACCTATGACGCGCCACCACCAGCCCCGGAGGGCTTCACGAGGAGTCCAGAAGAAGAAGGAGAGGCGCTTATATGTCCCAATTGCGAAGAACAGCTGTGTGTCGGCAGCGACGAGATCAAGAGGCAGGTGTGGATTGTCAAGGGATGCGGTCATGTAAGTCTCAGCTTGTGACGGACGGCACGACGACAAAACTAACAATGTGCTAGGTATACTGCGGCGAATGCACAGCCAATCGATCGGCGAAGCGCAGTGCCAAAGGCAAGGAGACGCGCGCAAACACGAACCCTTTCAAGGTCTGCGTGGTCGAGGACTGCGATAAGAACGTGTCCCATAAGAAGAGCATGATTCAGGTATTCTTGTGATCACGCAAGTTCAAGAGATGGATAACTTCAGTGGACCTTCTGTCTCTGCTTTCTCCAGGACATGTATCTCGGCTCGCAGTCATGGTTGGGTGTTTTGACGATACCCTTGCTTGCATCTCTCTCTCTCTCTCTCTTATCATATCTATTCGCATTTTGTTTGCATTTGCATAGCATGGCGTTTTTTGCACGGATGTTTTCGATTGAATTTACAGGGTACTAGTACCTACGAGCGGTCGATTCTCTGAGCGTGCCCTATTGCCCCCGGTGAAATATAAGAAGAGCGAGATGAGGGATGACCGGTGTAATTAGTATGCGAGGATTTAGATGAATCTGCGATATGGATGATTCTGACTCGAGTGCTTGTGAATATTGATGTGCTACGTGTCCCGAATATCTTGTTCATTGCGATGATGAAGGTCATGGGCGCTCACGTCGAAATAATGTATGATGATCTCATCCCACGTGGATGGACCTCGGGAATCCGGCGCCAAGAACAAGGGTCCTCAGGTACGCGAGACCGAGCTGCATGCGAGAAAAGGGCAGCTTGCTACATGCTTCCCTTGGGCCCCAGGCACACAAACCCCGTCACCTCACTTCTAACTTTGTTTCAAATCAATTGATCACGATTGCGTACGAAGATGTCAGCCAAATCCAAAACATCCCAGGCCGCGGCCCCCAACGACCAGCGACCCACCAAACCATCCGGAGGAGCGAAGAACGCATACCTCATGCTGTACAATACCGTCTCCGCCGCACTATGGGCAGGCGTACTCTTCCAGACTGTCACGATCGGTGCGAACGAGGTGGTGAATGCACAGAAGGCTGGTGCGTTCTTTGGCAAGGGCGATTGGTTTACGGCCACGAAGAGGGGGTTGGGCAGTGGGAAGGTGTATGGGAATTTGGAGGGGTATACGAGGACTGTGCAGACGTTGGCGGGGATGGAGGTTCTGCATAGTCTTGTCGGTAAGTCTAGGAGGATGGTGGAGTGCATTCTACTGGCCTCATCAGCCTTGCTAATAACGTCTTAGGTCTCGTTCGCGCCCCCCTCCTCACCACACTCATGCAAGTCGCATCCCGCTTCCTCCTCGTCCACCTCATCGCCTCGCCCCCCGCCTTCCCTCTCTCGACCCGCCACTCGCCCGCCTACAGCACCATGCTGCTCGCATGGAGCGTCACAGAAGTAATCCGCTACTCCTACTTCGTCTTTTCCTTATCTGGTGCCGGTGTTCCGAAGCTCTGGACCTGGTTGCGATACAACACCTTCCTCGTTCTCTACCCTCTTGGTATCTCGAGTGAGTGCTGGCTGGTGTACCAGGCTATCCCTTTGGCTAGTGAGAGGAACGAGTTGTTTGGATACGCGCTTTGGGCTATACTGGCCATCTATGTCCCAGGAAGTTACATTCTGTTCTCGCATATGTTAGCGCAGAGGAGGAAGATTGCTAGGCAGAGTAGGGTAGCTTAATGGGTGATGGGTGACGACGAAGCGCGGGAGAGAGATGCATAGGCAGTCAGACGGAGAATATACACATGGGACAAGTTAAGCCTGTGTTTGAAATGCAGCAAAGATACAATGCTACCTGTGTCCGACAGCACAAGCTAAGTAACCCATTCGCCAACCACATCAATACACGGCCTCATAGATGCTCACTCTTTCCCGCCCTCCTTCGGCCCCGTCTGCGCATTCCTCTCCCCCACATCCAAAGCAACCAAAAACCTACTCACGCAGTTATACGCCGCGACCGTCGCTGTGATCTCCACAATCTCCTTCTCGCTGAACCCCACTGATTTCAACTGCTCGAACACGCTGTCTGGCACACGGACATCTAGTGTCATGGCATCTGTGTATGCCAGTACGGCGGATAACTTGTCTCCCAATGCCTCGAGTGGCTTCCTGGGTGAGGAGTTTAGGACGGCGAGGACTTGGGGTTTTGTGACGTCTTGTTGTTGGGTGAGTAGGTGTCTGGGAGTGGGGGTAGAGGAGAAGAGGAGAAGGGGAGAAATGGGAATAGGGTGATGGGGGAATAGGCATACCTTCAGCTGATTCTAGAATCGGCGAATGAGACTCCCATTCGTACCATGCCTTGTTTAGAACTGCAACGCGGCAAATGGCTGTTTCGCGGATGGATGTGGGAAGACTGGTTTTCGTGCGGATGGAGCCGAGGAATGAGTTCCTGGTCATCTCCGTCAGTTCGCCGCATTTCAAAGTGGATGTTTGATTGGAGTGTGAATGGCTGTGTTATGCGCCCGTCCATCGTGTGTGGACTAGGTAGGACAGCATGACATGGAAGATTGGAGCATGATGCTTTGGAACTTACCACCCGTCCGCGACCGGGGGAGCATGAAGCAGTGTCCGGTCTAGAGCTATGAGGCCCTTCTCGCCTCGCCGTTGTCTGACGCGCTGCTCGACGGCTTTGTCTTCTTCGGACGTGAAGTTCGGCGGGTCGGGGACGTATGGGAGACGCATTGTGAGGTTGGTAAATCGATGAAATGTTCTTGTAATCGTGAACGTCTTCTTGTCGACTTATATAGATAAGGACTCAGTCTGAGTCAAACGCGTATGCTCCTCTTCGTCGAGATCGAGATGAGTCAAGCTGCGTGCTCGTCACTACATATCCCGAGGTCGGCAATAGAGCTGGAGCCGTCGGAACGCATTCCGAGCACTGAGCTGGCGGGGACGAATCACAACTCTCTTCGCTTACCACTTATCGATAACGAGACTTTCACCATCCTTTCCCACCTAGTCCGATGACTGTCGCACTCGGCTGTAAACAACAACACAAACAATAACAGACATGGCGCCCAATTCCAAGCTGAACGCAAAGCGCAAGGCGCAAAGAGAAGGAACGCAACCTGCGAAGCCCAAAAAACCGGAAAAGCGTCTGGCGAATGGCGCTAAAGGACCTGGGATTTCTTACATTCCGATTGAACTCCAACAGCTTTTGTTGAACATTTTCCGCAACTCGTTCGCGGAGAGGATGAGCGCGGATATTACGCCGCTGTTGCAGGAAGTCAAGGGCCATCTTTACAAGCGCGACTTTGCGACTGCATTTGGGAAGAAGGAGTATTTGGAGGCGTATGCGGCGAGGTGGAGTCCGAGTCGCGCGTTGGGATATTTGGATCTCATGTGGGAGTTGAGGGACGAGATATGGGTTGATGAGGAAGATGAGGAAGAGGATCTAGAAGGCAAGACCGAGCAAGTCAAGCCGAAGAACAGGAAGATTGTGTGTTTGGGTGGTGGAGCGGGCGCGGAGATTGTGACTTTGGGCGGCTTGCAAAAACTGATGTCGACCACATATTCACAAGATGGAGAAGACGTAGATGGTCCGAGAGGTTATGTGGAAATTGCCGCCATCGACATCGCCGACTGGAGTGTGGTCGTGGAAAACCTCGCCAAACAACTCACGGTCCCGGCCGAACTATCGAAATACGCATCAGCCGCTGCGAGAGCCGCGAATGTCCCGCCTCTCAACCCAGAAGACGTCACCGTACGATTCAAGCAGCAAGACGTACTCTCAGCCTCGGCTGAAGAACTATCCGAACAACTCGCCGACGCAAACCTCGTCACACTCCTCTTCACCCTAAACGAACTATACACAGCCTCACTCCCCCTAACCCAAAAGTTCCTCCTCCTAATGACATCTATCCTCCAACCCGGCGCTCTCCTCCTCGTCGTCGACAGCCCCGGAAGTTACTCATCCGTCACGTTGAACGGCGCCGAGAAGAAGTACCCCATGCAATGGCTCCTCGACCATACACTGTTGAAGCAGGCCAGCGGGAATTTGAATGAGCGCGGCAAGGAAGAGATTGTGCGATGGGAAAAAGTCAAAGAGGATGATAGTAGGTGGTATAGGTTGGATGAGAGGTTAAGGTATCCGATTGAGCTGGAGAATATGCGTATGCAGGTGCATCTTTATCGGAAGTTGTAAGACGTCGCAATACCATCGACAAAGATACAAAACTACCCTTTCAACCCTTTCTCTTCAGTGGCCCTCACCCATTACCCATCCAGCCGCCATCACAGTGTCGACTCATCCATCAAGTCTGACTCGGGTCACCATTGCCACTCGCTTATGCACTCTTCCTGCGACTTGATCGAGGCACTAGAAACCATCGAGCCTGCACGGCGTGGTCGTCAAGACATATTCAACTGTCTCTTCGGAGCTGGTCGCCTTATCCGCGATAGTGGCTGAACCTGCCGCACCAATGTCGCGGATGTTGTGTGTCGATAAGCGGAGCTTGAGAGGTCCGTTCCATTCGTCGCATGGCGTCCACGCATGCGACATGATGGCCAGTCATCATGAAAAGCAATATCACAAACCCCCCCTCCCTCTCACCCACCCCTAACTTCCGTACAACTCCACCCCCTCTCCCTCTCCCTCCCCTGCCCATAAACATCCTCCGGCCTCCTAACCCCACTTCCCGAATCCACCCTATCCATCTCCATCCTCATACTCGATCTCGACAGCTCCTTCGTCACCAAGATGCTCTTCAAACTATGGTTCTCCTGCACACTCCGCAGACTGATGTCGCTGCTGCTTGCCGGGTTCCCAGGGCTGAGCTTGGGTGTTTCTCGTAACCGTGTCTTTTCGTAGCGGCGGAGGAGGATGGCGATGATGGGGACAAGTAGGAGGAGGCATACGATGGCTATTACGATGCCGATTATGGCGCCGGGACTGAAGCCATCGCGTCGGGAGCTGCCGTTGGGGATGGGGATTATGGCTGGTGGGGCTTCGGGGGTGAGGGTTGTGGTGGGGAGGGGGGTTGGTGGCATTGTGTGGGTTTGGTTGTTGTTGATGTGATAGGTTGATGGGTTCTTTGAGTAAAGATAATTAGAGATGCAAAAGCGTTGTGTGTGTAAAATAGAAAGCGACGATAAGATGATTGAAGATGTAAAAGCGTTGTGTTCCCGAAATCGAGTAGAAGAGATGTGAGGAGAGTCCAATTAGAGGCTAATTGTAACGACAGTATTGCAATGAGCGAAAGTCCAGAGTATGACAGAAGAAAAGCGACAGGAACTACTTTCAATAATGAGAGAAAGGATATGCTGGGCTGTCAATCTCAATAGTAAGAACACGAGGGGTTTTCATGCCACGAATAGCGCCTTACCGTCACTTTCCAGAACAACCCCCAACCCACCCCTACCATGCCTATCCCGACCAAATCGCAGCACCCGCTGACCACAAAGACGTGAGGGAAGCCTAGCGCACATCGTGACCCTCGTTGTAGCGATCAGAATTGGCTGCAAGGCAAAGTTAGTGGCGTTTACAACTAGCCAATCACACTTCCTTCGCGGCTGAAGGAGGCGAACACCTAGGCCAGAGCCGCACGCCGCCTCGCCTCAGCCAGCGTGCGTTTGCGCTGAAGGATCAGGGTCTACAGCGAATAGTAGGCGGGAGGGGTAGAGGGGTCGTGATGCCCTTTTGTGAGGCGCATGTGGAGGGACGTGGGGACGCGGTTTCGTTGGACCGGAGGTGCGCGAGGTGAGGCTTGCGCAGGTACGGGTTTGGGGGGAATGGGAATGGTGTTTGGCGAGGGGTTGACCGCTTGTGAGGCGCGTTTAATGAGTCTGATGTGTTTTGAGGTGTTTTGGGCATGCTTTGGAGATGTGACGAGGGAGTTGTGGGTTGTTGTTGCCAGGTGCCAGCCGTGCCTGCCGCTTGATCCTAGGCGGGACGAGGCGAGAGGGTGCCCCTCATTCGCACCTGTCGTCGCGTTGTATCCTTACTCCATCATGGTGACCAAACATCTATCAAGACACAGCGTTGCGCAATTTTCCTCCAACGTACATCCGACGTGTTCTGGTCTTAATTGTATAGACTACCGTTCACCGGCGTATTAACCGGCTCGCTAGAAAGTCCACAGTGACCAACGTCGCCGTGCTCCAATAAGGTCTCGAATGCGCCCCATCGCAGAGGTTTCTCCCAGGGTGCGTCCTCATCAAGTCGTGCATGACAAGAAGCTGCGATAGCGATGCTACACGAACCTACAACCGGCATTGGGTTCAGTCGCTTTAAGCCCAAGATAACCAAGAAGAGCACTAGAACACAAGCAACTATCAGGGAGATAAAGATGCCGAGTGGTGAGTAACCGCATGTGATGAAGTCAGCACCACAATAACCCGCATCAGCTCGTGAACGAGGCTGGCCAACATACGTGGTCGAGGAATACGCGATCGGTTCCGACCCCCAGTGATAACATTGGCCGGTCGTATTATGGTTTCCATGCATGTTGTACACCTCGACAGCCACCACGAAAATGCTTTGGGAGGCCAGCCAGTGTAGCACGCAGGAGAACATGAGCAGCGGTATAGCGTAGCGGTAAGGTAGTTGGAGGAAATATGTGCTGCGCTGTACGCCGGATTCGTTGGTGGACACGCGCAATCCTTTGGTCTCCGAGAAGTAGCTAGACCACTCCCGTGCAAGCAGCATGGATGTGATTGTGGCATTGTAGGAGAAGTAAATGAGCGAGATAATGACCTGTGGACTGTTTGCGAGGAAGACATTCGCCAGAATGCCGGGCACACCCTTGAAGGGCCACTCGTTATCCTTTGGGATAAAAGCAATGACGGTGCGGGGATCTATGCGACCAAGACCAATCCCGAGGACGTCCCCGAGGCTTCTTGCGCTCTGAATTTCACGGTAGCGCCAAATGAATAATCCCAGCAGCACGAATACTCCCGTGGACAAACTGCAAATGTTTAGCCAGTTTGACCTTAACAATTTTCGAACCTGAACGTACGCTAGAACACACATGAAAGCTTTTCCAGGCTTGACAGATGACATCCACCATGGTTTGACATAACTATAGGGTGAAGCAGGCTGTGGTACTCGTCGTTGCGCCTCAGATTGTGTGTGTACGGTCTTTTGTGACCTGAGGCACATTTGCAGTGTTCCATTGTCGGGCTCTTGTAAAAATGAAGACACGGCATCTCCGATCGTGAGCAAGGGACTATGGCGCAAGATCATTGCGCTACACAGCATAACAATCAGCTTTAGTGCATTGCATACAATGACAATAATTCCTATGTGGATGCTGAAGTTGAGGGTGCATTGTTGCTCCATCCGCTCGCTGAGACAGTAGTCTATGGTTGACGAAAACGGTGTCCAGCTGGAGGGATTTGACTTCAACTGCGACAGTAGTGTATCGTATGCTCGAGGAACACAAACCCCGACCGAGCCGTGAAAGCCGTTAGGAAACACCGTGAATTGGGAGTATATCCACTGCGTCCCCAAGTCTGGATCCCTACAATATTGATGACCGCCCTCGTCCGCGGAAGATATGTCGACGACGTTCGAGTAGAGTCTGGTACCATTATATAAAACGGAGCTGATAGTGTTGCGAAGACCGCTGAATTGTAACTAGTGCATCTTAGTACGATTGGTCTCAGCCATGACAACGATGATGGCGCTTACCACAAATGCAATGGAAAAGATGACGCTGCAAGTATCCACCAACATATCTTTTTCTTGAAACTTAGAGGCGATGCCAAGACATTGTGCAGGCTCGGGACACCAATATCGAGATACCGGCCTCGCGCATGCGCTGCGTCAACCTCTAGCCGTGAAGGTGCTGACAAGCATTGCATGCAGTAGTTGCTGCCTCCAAGGAGCATAGTACTCAGAATGTTGATAAGGACATGGATTCCGGTGTTCACCTTACGCATCTCGTCGCACGGCGCTTCGTAAAGTGCGCCAGTCCCGTTGCGCGTTCCTCGAGTCGATATCGCCCATACAAGGAAGGCGGTGTTCGTTATGAGCACTGCTGCAGCAAGACCAACAAGGAGGAGCAGGCTGGTCCGCCATTTCGGTCGTGCTTTTCGTGTTTTTGTAGCGTTGTTATAGGGCACCAAGAGTGGTATTGAACGTAACTTTTGCATGATCGCACCCGCCATGATGAAGTCCGCGATGAGACGTGATGAGACTGTGGGCGGGTCAGCGTGAGAGATAGTTCTTATCGCAGCCGCAGAGAGATATACAGCAGACGAGGCTGAAAGCCACAATTCACAAGGCTTGACGAGGACATGGAGCTGGAATATTTAGGCCAGGGCTAGAACCAGTAGCATAAGTAACGAGGTGCGAGTGTATCAGGGAATGTATGTGATTCGTGTCCCACGTGTCCATCCCATGCCTATTCTGGACTCCGGTGCAGGAGCAGCTGAGGTCGAGTCGACATTGTCGCCCCGAACTCAAAAGCCTTCAACGCCGAATTAGACAGCTAGATCCCTCTACAGACGGATTCAAAAGCGAATAAAGAATAGCCGTGCGCCCGAGTTCTCTCTAGCGAGCTTTTGCAATGTTCGGAACTTCACCGTACCTTGCAGCGATCACTCTGTCTCTAAACTAGATAATTCGAGACATCTATAAGGACGACACTGCTAAGCGGCAAAGATTATGAACGATTGTCACCTCGGCTACGCTCCCGCTCTTCGATCAGAGCCAGGATCACAGGGCAAGAAATGTCCGTGCAAACGGGTCTAGACCGAAACACTAGGTTCGAGGCGCGAAGCTAGGCTCAGCCTCGTTCTACGCCCTAACACATCATTGTGCTCTGAGACCTCCCACGAGCTCCACTGCACATTCTGTGAACCGTCTTTCGAGTCTAGATTTCTCTAGCTATTTACTTAAGCTATGCAGCGCCCGGCATGCACCAATAGCAAAATGTCACGCAGGTAGCTCGCCTCGCATACCTGCTGCACAGCTGCAGGGTCGGACGAGACTTCCACGAGACTTCCTACAGCTACAGGCGAGGTCAGATAGATAGCGGAGTGGGTGGCACAGGCGAGGCGCGAGGCATAACGCTGTCAATTGTCGAATCTGAGGTGGTTTGTATATGTAACGGGGGTGTTTGGCTCATGCAACAACACGCCCGCGCAACAAAATGTTGCCAGCCGTGCCTGCCCCTTGGTCGTAGGCGAGGCGACAGGTTG